GAACGGCAGCAACGGCGGAAACGAGAGCCAAAAGGCTAACCTTCATGGTGGAAGACATGCTGATAATGCTGGAAGGCGGTTACGGGTGCGTGAAACGTTGAAATGTATGGACAGGTAAAGGCAAATGCTGCTTCTGGAGCGCGAGTAACGAGGCCGACCAGGGCGATTGCTGATGTGGCGGTAATGAAAGTGATGTCTGGAGAGACAAAGAGTGGAACGAGCAAATGCTCAAAAGAAGGACTGCAACAGCACCGTGGTATGAGTTGGAGGGAAGGTGACGGGCAAACGGGGCTACGGGGCGGGTTGGATTCATATACGCTGGCCAGGCGGGGATGGGGGGGGAAAGGCCATGAATCCTTCCCTGCACGCCTAGACTCAGCATGTCAGCGCGCGTTCATGTCCTGGAACTTTTTTAGGTCGCGCGGGTAGCCAGGGGCAAGGGTAAATCAACGTGTATCAGCCATTCACGACGGCGAAGGCCTCCAAGGCGCAGACCCAGCAAGTCAACGATCGGCAGGACAAAAGCTTGACTATGGCGAGTGGCGCGCGCCGTTGTTACAGAGCCCTGGTACCCGCAGCGCCGCCAGGCACAGCCGCAGGGGGCGTGAAAACAAAGTTGCAAGCGACACGGCGCTTGTAGAGTCGCTGAATATGGGGGGAGAGGACTTGTTTCTCTTGCAGCTGCAGCTTGCTCTATCGATAGCGAGAGCATGATGATGCTTGCGGTCAGCTGGTCGTCACATGTAGCTCTGAGAGAGAGTGCAGTCGCCTTGACGCCTTGACGCCGTCATTGAACTGCTATGTATAGTTCCCACAGATGGACAGGCATCGCGTCCAACTTGCCATTGCTCCTGTCGCTCGCCGCCGTCTGGACGCTGGGCGGATGACGCTCCGCTTGGCGATTGCAGCCCATGCCCTCATCTCCGGCTTTGATCTCTCGGCGGATGCCCGTCGTGTTTGAAATAGGAGGTGACGTGTGCAGTGGCCTGGCTGCGTGATCTTGCCCCGCATCGGCTTTTGCGTCGTTGTGTTGAGAGGGCTGTCCAACGGGCTGAGTGAGGCCCAGCGAGCGAGAGGCCCGAGTCGAGCAGCATCTGCGTGCTTGACCCCCTATGGAAGTCGCCCCGAGCAGGCACAGCAAGAGGCCAACACCCGCATGCTGACGACGCCTCCGAAGACGACACCATGTTTGAACCGGTTGCCTTTCCCGTTCCCGACACGAAAATACCAGCCCCATGTTGCACGGCAGACAAACAGCACATTGGTGAGGCCCTTTGAGCGCTGTCCCCAGCCGCCTCGTCCCTTTGCCGCCAGCAAGACACTCGTCGTCGTCCCTGTTATTTCACAGGAACGATGATCGGCCTCGCTCGGAGCACAGAACAACTGAATACGAAAGGCACAGTCGCTTTTGTTTGATTCGAGCGCGGCTGGGACATTGCGAAGACATGCCTTGCTTGTCAGCTCCCATTTCCAGCACGTTGCACTCTCCCACGTAGCTCGCCTCCTCAAACACGAGGGCGCACTGCACGTGGAGCGCCCAACATCAATTCTGGGGACCTGAGCGGTTGCCCTGAAGAAAGACGTCCAAAGGACTGCTCTTCGTGTCTGGCTCTGCAACTCGCTGTCTCTGCTCTGTTCGGCGTCACAGCAGCAACCTTTGCTGTCCTCCTCCCCCAGCTGCTGTCGGTCCGGCTCCTCACTCCTCTGCCACATTGCGCACCCTTCGACCGCCGATGTCACGTCGCTCCACGTCATTCCATTTCACATGGCTTTTCTTTACAGGCTCTTCTCGTGGTCGCCCGAGTGTGTCTCCGAGTTTGCGCTCCAGAACGCTTCTCCCCATCGTTTCGTCATTGTTTGCCTGAGCCGAAGAAAATCCAGATGAATTCTCCACACATGACAGCATCCCATTCGTTCACTTTCACTCCCCTCATCCAATGGCATCTCCGTCACTTTCTCCAACGGCCCGCAATGTCAATCTAGTCAGCTATCGATAACACTTGCTTGGTTCCTGCATAAGTGCTGCATGGCCTGCACAACCTAATGCATGGGTTATGCCATCCTGCGCCAGTTTTAATCTCTCAACGGGCAGACATGTGTCCACATTGCACGCCCATATTTTGCTGTGTTGTTTGCCATTCAAAAACTTGCAAGTCTTGTGCGTTGACTCACGGCATTCACAGCGCGGAAAGCGACTCGACGTCTCGGATGCTCAAATTACAAGCAATCGAGGATCTCCTTAGCGAGATCACTTCGAAATGAGCGGATCGTCGCGTATCTGGAACCTTTGGATCCATGGCTCACGCCGGCGATTTGTTTGCGCCAGACTGTAATTACAGAATGCTCGGCGGCCGCCTGCGGAACCAAACATTGCCCCAGCCCGGAACGTGGCGACCCGCTCATTACCTTTTGCGTACCCGACAGCCTGTCTGTCTGATCATGTCTGCCGATCAACCAAACATCTATTTAATTTTGATGAGTCGGGCAAAGTAAAACCATCCACTCCACACTCATGTTTGACGAAAAAACCCCGGCTCACCATGTGGTGTTCGCATGTTTCGTTTCAACCCAGCACATCGTTCATGCAAGTCGGCTCGCGAACGCACACAGGTTTCGAAACACCGGGGGTAGCAGCTGTCGTGTGCCTGACGATCCGGTTCGCATCTACTCGCCAATGCGTTCGCTTTGCATCGTTCCACCATCTTGAGAGCTCTATATGTTCGTAGGAATGCTTTCTATATTTAAGTTTATTGGAGTATTCACCCTTTTTTCACTCAAGTCTATGAAACCTACTAAGGCATAGCATTCACGTCCACCAAGACAGTAGAGGTCCTCTTCCGCAGAGCAAATTTCGCATGTACCGCAGGCGATGGTTCAGGTCATGCAAGCCTAGCTGCAGCTCTGCATAAAGAGAGTGCCAAATATAGTCACCCGAAGCACGGCAAGTACCCCAGTCAGATCGACATTGAAGCGGTATCTTGTAGGCGAGAAGTTCGACTACTTCGAGCGGTCTCTACCTCTTCTTCTCATGGCCCTCTTTTCAACGAGCAGCGACGTTGCCAAATCCAGTTCAGTCTTGTTCACACCCATATTGACTTTTTAATAGCACTCCATTCAAGTCTGCATTATCACTAGAGGCACTAACTACCTATGTCACAATGAGTTCAGGTGGTTCACGTTCAGTCGACGTGAACCTGAAGCTGCTCTGCAATACGTTGTGCGATCCGAATCAGCCAGCGATGCAGCGCTTGCAGTCTGCAGATAAGTGGGCTGCGCTGTAGGTATGCCAGTTGATCATGCGTTATTCAACAACCATTCGACGAATAGCCATATATCCAAATGACTTTGTATAAATTCAAAAGGATCTTACAAAAATGCCAAGAGCATGAAATTTAGGCATACATCGATGGAGACAAACATCGGAACCGTTTGCGCGCCTCTTTGAATTCCAGTATGCCCATCAGGAGTATCAGAAACAGAGGCAATCGCTTGTCCACTTGCCACCATTCGAAAGACTGTGTGAGGCACTACAATGAGTATCTTGTTCCATCTCATCTTCTTGACTGTCCACCTATCTGCGCCATGCAATTGTATGTCGTTCTTAAATGGACCTTTACTGAAGGATACCTCCCTATCCTTCTCCCAACTCCTGTCGCAGAGATTTTACCCCAACTTTTGTGCACCCAACGCCCGATTACTCTTTAAATATTCAAACACGCATTTTCATATTACAGAGTTTGTTGGATCTGTTGGCGTACTCGTCGCCACTCAAGGAATCGTCTCCGTTAATACTCTAAATACCATTTCGAGTATAACACAGGTCGTGAGCCTATAGCCCCTTGTAAGAGCATGAGCCAGAGGAGATTCTTCGTCTAGGAGAGCCCATTGCACTTCTTGTCACCCATGATGGCTCCGATGGCTTCAATATCCTCGCACACTCTCCTTATAAAAATCTCAATGGCAGAGCGGTCGGACCTCTAGCCCTTGCTTTTACTTACCATTTATCCACATACTCAACCCAGATTCACATTGACCTTCCAACAGCTTGCGCCGTATTGATTGGAGTTTGACTGCGTAACATGCACATTTCGACCATCTCGACGTGTCATTCTTACTGATGCGAATGCAACGTGGTTAGGTCGGACTCGAAGGCCCAATCTTCATTCCGCCTATTGTATTGGAATCCGATAAGAACCCTTAGCAGCTAAGACATGAGACTGGTGAGTTAGGGCTCAAGATATGGGGCCACACAAATGGTCCCCACAACTGCAAGCTCAGAGGGTTAAAGATCGGGACTGGTGACTTGTAGTACAGACATAGATTCACGCCTGGACAAGCTTCTGAACCTCTAACGTCTTCTTAGCCCATCATTCGGGTGGGCCTCTTCTGGTAAGCTAGTCCCCACCACGGCCGTTTTATGACCCCTGTTCTTCAACTCCCCATCCCCATCAACAAGCCCCACCACATATACTCTACAATCGCTAAAACGGTCTCAAAATCAGCCAATCAGAGCTTCTCATCCGGTTTTGTAGTGTAGCGGGTTAGTCCTCATGCTTCAGACTTGTTTTCTCACACTATCCAACTAACATTTCTTCAGTCATCACTTCGGATTCTGATTGCTTCAGAGGTTTCCAGCGACCCCAGTTCGATTTTGGGCAAGACCTTACTTCCTTTTGAAGGGTCGATTGTTTATTTTCGGGTCGCGATGGAGAGGTTGCGTAGAAAATCATGTAGTTACCTTTTATAGTGTGACTCGACACGCTCTGACGACACAAAGTACGTTAATAAATCAGAACGTTTGTAAATCCTGAAAGCAATTCTAGTATATCTACATCTTGCTTCTTTGTGCTACTTTTTTTTTCATCTCCATCTCGAGAGTGTGCGTTCTTTTGTGCGCCAAAGTCTCGCCCTTTGATGGTGTACAGCCCAAAAAAAAAACTTCCTCTAGCCCATCCGAGAAGCAAAACGGAGGCTTGCTACCACAAAGGAGCAAAAGGAAGTGACTCAGCCGAGGCTTGAACTCGGGACCTTCAGTGTGCTAACCATCGTAACGATGTTGTGTTAGACTGACGTGATGGACCAACTACACCACCGAGCCGTTTTGAAGTGTGCATGAAGATATTTAGCTGGCTGTTTGGTATATATGCCTCACAAATGAATAAGCAATGCCATACAATGAACCCTAGATTCATATTCTATACCAATCGTGAAGCGATTCTAAGAGGCGATGCGGATTGACCCACTCAGGAGAAAATTTATAGACGCTAGCGCGGACGCGGGGCCACGCAGGACTCAGAGAATGCATTATGGTTGTATACATCAATAGGTAAGGTGATCTGAATGGTAAAGGTGTCAAACGTATTGGTATTTAATTGGGTATTTGAGATCTTCCCTATCCAATTCCAACACCAAACCAAACCTAACCACAATCCGATCAACGGTCCTCCCATCCCAAGACCCGGCCCCAACTCAATGAAATAGCGAGGCAATGTGCCATCGCACAAACGCGAGAAAACAAACGAAAGAATAGTCGCTTTACAATACCAGCTGTAGATAGCTAACAAGCGGTAAGCGGCTTTGGGTATCGAGAGCGCTCAAAATGTTTGACGCTGGCGCAAGAGAAACATTACGAATATGCAGTATGTGTCGGTATATATGCGCTTGCGCGTGACCGCTTCTAGCCTTGTGGCAAGACCCCTAAAACAATGAGAACGACTGAGAGAATACAAATGGTATGAAGTGAGATGAACAAAAGTAAGGAAATATAACACGCTTTGCAAACAACAAAGGAGACGCAAGTGAAGTAGCAAAACGAGTCCGAAGACAAAAGAGCAGCAAGCAAAGCACCAGTAAAGCCAGGTTTCGGCCGTTAGGCATACTCGTCATACATGAGCGAGTCGTAACCGCAGTGTGTTCATCTAGAAGCCGCGGAAGGGATCATTAGCGTCAAAGTCTTCAAAGAGACCTCCAGACCGGTTAGACTGGTCCCTGGTGCTGGCGCTCCACTGACTGCTCCCCCGGCGACGGTTTATACGTGCTCTCGCAGTATGACCGCCGAGTGACTTAGGGTCACCCAATGCATTGTCGATGAAGGCCTCCATGCGCACAGTGCCCATAGTATCGAAGAAGGTTCGACGGGTCGAGGCACTGGCCTCGGAAGTCCTTGAGCTTACGGCACCACTATTGGGATTGTACACCGTGGAGGGTATAGATGGCGGTGCGGCGGCACTATACATGTCTGAAGAACCATTGGAGTAGATGGATGGAACGTGCTGATGAGAAAAGCTACGGAAAGGGATACTGGGCGGAGGGGCGCTGGGTCCAGTTGAACTTCTCTTTCTGCCGTGGTATGGGCCGCGTGGAATGGTAGGAGGACTAGCAGAGTCCGGTACTGGCCTATCGAATCCAGAAAGGGAGGGTAGACTCGGCATGGGCTCGTTTTGGGATGCATAGCGTGCCATGACAGGGTTTGCCTTGCCTTTGGCGAGGCGAACAGAATCCTGGACGCGAGTGCGGCGCAACGTTGCCACTTGCGAACGCTGCTGTTGTTCCTCAACCGGGGGTGGGACAGGGGGCATCGATGCTAGATCCGGGATCGGGGAGCTTGAGTGGGCCAAAAATGACAGTGCTGTCAACCACAAGTAATGCCGTTCTCGCGAAACAGTAGTGAACTTGAGCGCGCGCGCCGGGGTGAGGATTAAGATCGACCGATTGAAGAGTGTCTCATTCTTGGGGCCGGGGCAGTTGTCGGCAACATCGAGGACAGACTGGATTGTGACTAGTACAATATCAGTACGAGACAATTACAAAGGTGTGAGACACTTACGTTTACGCCCGCTCTTGCCCATCAGTGCTGAGCCAGATGTTGGCTGCTTGCTACTCCACAAGATCGCCCGTTCATATGGCGAGATCCATACCCAGCGCTTGTGCCGTACACCGTTGGTCGCCAGAGAAGCCTCCTCAGCTGCACGAGCAACATCTGCTGAAACCTCTGGGCCTCCGAATGCTTTCCTCTTGCGAACATACTTCCACATGAACTCGCCTATCATTGACGCCGCAATGGCATCAACAACACTAGTCTGCGTTGCAGAGCTGTTGATTGAGCCATTCGCCGTGTACGCAGTGGCAGTCGATAATTGGTGCCGATGACCAAGGCCGCTAGCACTGACAACGTCGCTTGGCAGAGGTGGAATCGAGGTAGTGTCCGCTATGCTAGGAGTTGCGGAAAGTGTTGGTGACCTACTACGAGAGCGACCAGGTTTCGATACAGGAACTGCTGATCGTACCTTCCGCAAGCTGTCTTTACGCTGATGATTCACACCGTATGGACGGCGACCAGCGTGTGATCCACTGTTGCGCGGTGTCGGGCTTTGGGAACCCTCGCTCTTACTCACAGGCTTGTTGCGCGAGCTTGACCTAGTGGGTACAGGAAAGGGGGGCTTAGGAACAAAATTGCTGGAACCAATACTGCCCAAACTTGGGCTACGAGAACGGTTATGTGCTGCCGTGCCATTCTGAATCATGGCAGAGCGTCGAATGCTGGGCTGGCGGCCAATCGAATTACGCGATGCTTTGCCAACTCTAGCAGGCTTCTCATACGAACTGCGTTTAGATCCCATTGTATTGGCATTCATAGAGTCCTCAGAAGGCCTAGACGTTGGCGTTGATTCTTTGTCTTCTGGAACAGGCGTCGGAGGGTTAACAGGCCGGCCGTTCTTTGCGTTGCGCGACGACAGCATTGGGGTCGAGTATTGATGGCCTCTGTAATCATCATCACTAGCATCACCATCATTGTCATCTTCATCAGAGGATGGGCCGTCGAATCCAGCGAAGAGACTGCTTGTTCGAAATGGCCTACTAAGGATATCGACTTGGTGTTGTCGAGACAAGGGGCCGTTGTCGTTGTTGCCAGGGTAGCGATTCTCCACCTTCTTGTCCGCGGCTTTCTCGAGCAATGCAGTGAGGTCTTGACGAGCTACAGGTTTTGGAGCAGATGGCATAATGTCGGTAGAATCGGGTTGTTGGAACTCCTTCTTGGTGTCTTTGTTTGGCGCCTTGCGATCGTGATGTGGTTCGGGAGTGCCGGGCTTGGACGATATCGCAGAGGGGAGAAGGTGTGGAGGGAGCTTAACAGGGCGTTTATCGATCCTTATGGGCTCCGTCTGCATACCAGATGAGCGCATAGGTGCCGCAAGGTCACCTGTTGTCTGTGTTGATACCGTCTTGGTCCCTGGCGGGAGGATTGGTTCTCTTGGCGAAGAGGGTGCTGACGTTGGAGCATGTATAGCGATCGAGGGGATTGAAATAGATGCTGGTGGTGGAGCCCTCTTGCTTCCAGCAAGCGCTTCGTTTAGCTCTTCTGGTGGCTCCGTCTGAGTGGACGTGGAAACGACTTCAGGTTGATATACAGGTAACAAAGGAGTTTGTTCCATGGGGATAGGAATTCTCGGAGTGTCTGGGGGACTCAAAGGCTGTTCCACAGTCTGTACTGATGCAGAAGTCATCGAGTAACGACCAGGAACGCTGGGTGGTGGACTAGGGCTCAGAGGAACAGAAACTCGTTTCCGTCTTTGGTTTGCTTCAACATCTACGACTGTAGAGGCAATCTCATTCGACTTCACTTGTATGGGAGCCTCCGCTGTCTGCGATGAAGCCTCAACCATCGCAGGCCGTGTGGGCGATGGCGGAGGAGACGGCTGCACGCCAGTATCAATATATATTGGCCGTGTTGGCGGAAATACCAAGGTGATGTCTCGGGGCGTAATAGTTACTGATGACTGGGTTGTTTCATACGACCTCTTCGGCTGCTCGTAATCCTCAGTCACACAAGGGCTGTCTCGACTAAGCTGTTGAAGGTCGCTATTGAGTCCAAGGATGCGTTTAGCTTTCTCATCTGGGTACATCGATTGACGAGATTCGAGAGCTCTTCTCGCTCGCATCTCGTTTTCGGGGAAATCGTCAGAATCGAGCTCCAGCTCTCCTAGGTCTTCTTCTTCTTCGTCAAAGATAAGCTCGTCTGCCAGACTCATTCCATTGTTGCGGCCATGGCCGTCAGAGCTCATCAAAGACATCCGATAGTTGCGTCCGATGCTTCTGTAACTGCCATTGCTTCGATTCCTTGAATGCCGCCCAATTCGAGTAGATGGTCTTCGTTGTGGTGACGAGCGTATGCTGGCTGTGTCGCTTTCCGGGCCGACTCCGCTATCCCTCGTCATCTCCTCCCCGTCGCTCTCCAAACCAGCTTCTTCATTTGCAGCTTCATGCAGCGCGATCTCATCCAGAAGCATCTTCATACGGGTTTCAGAAATGTGCACCCTTCTCTCCAACGTTCGCTTCTCTCCAGCCCACACCTCCTTTTCGCGGGCCCACATGTCGTGCACTCTGGTGGAATCATCTTCTTGGCTTCGCGATTTCTTTTGTGCCGCCTCAAGTTTCACTCTCAGATCTGCATTGGCTTCCTTGGTCTTGTCTCTCTCGCCAGCGATCTCTTCGAGCGCAGCCAGCGTCTCACTTTCGAAATGTTGGAGCTGCCGTTTTGCGGTTTTGCTTTCTTTTATAGACGATGATAGTTGTTTTGTAAGTGAGTCGTTATCATTCCGCACCGCGTGAAGGTTCGTTTCCAAGTCCTCAATGAACTTGTGCTTCGAATCCAATTCTCGCCGAAGATTCAGGATCTCAGAAACCAGATTTGCATGTAACGTGGGAGTGAATCGTCGAGGATCGAGAATCGAGATGTTCTCGTCGTTGGCAGCGTCTTCAGATCCATTACGTGGATCTGGTGGAAGGGGTGGTGGTGAGCTAGAGATCTCACTTCCTGAAGTACCAAATCTTGAAGTTCGTCGGGACAAGGACTGATATGGTGTACCAGCAGGGGAGGGCAGAGGCTGGCTGGTAATGAAGGCCTCATTTTCAGAGAAGTAGTCGGTCGCCATTCTGATAGAGACGCAGGATGTGCCAGTACCTCAAACCATGCGACTGTAATGGGTCAGAACCACAGTGAAGTGGTACTACGTACTACTGACGTGCACAATCTAACACATTCCTACAGCAAAGTTAGTGGGTATTTCGGAGCAATTTAGGGTCGCCTGTATGACAGAG